ACAACGACGGCTGACGATTGTTAAATAAACCATAGAAAAATTTTCGTGCAAATTTTCGTTCTCGTTCATTGTATTCATTGACAACAAGAAAACAGTAATTAAAATCTGTATAAAACACGTATTTAAATGCTACAAACTAGCCATCGATCGTTCGATCGATCATCCATATTGCCATCGGTGTGACTACAGTGCAAAGTTAACAACGTATATGTTACATACACCAGACCCAGCTCCTGTTAATCGATAAATCTAACGTACATACAAATTACAAACACGCAGCCGACCTTGTAAGATGGAATCAAAATGGCTTTCGATAAAAAGAATTCAACAATTCCCTAATAAAAGACTCTCGCGTCTGAAGCACGCGAGGAAATTCAACAAGGATCTTTAAGAAAAATACATTCTTCGTTACGTGGTATAAGACAAAATACAAAAAAGTAATAACTTTCCTGTATACGCTGATAGAGTAGCTTCGAAAATATAAGCGTTTAACAAACAGATAGGGGTGTGTTCTATATAAATTTGTGCATTGTGAAACACTTTGAAGCCCTTTGTGCACGGATTCTCCCTCGTATATGTGTATATGCGTGTATATCGTTTCGATTGCAACGGTTTCTTTCTCGTCAATAAGTTGTATGCGTGTATGTGTGTGCAATACGTACAATTACACATTAAAACCGCTATAAAATCGCTAGAACCGCTATACATGGATTTCACGAACAGAGATCTCAACGTATTTTCCTATTAAAAAAATGCCCACCGTATACAACATCTACTGTATGTATAGTGTCTACAGATAGAAAGAAATGTTCGTCGATAGAGTGATCTAGAAAAGCTCCTAAGGTAGAAAATTTTTTTGCTTATAAAATAATTCGTGCATCTTATCTAAGGAACAGTTTAGAGATCCATTTTTACTGCGCGTATTAATTACACGATAATGATCGCGTTGATTACCTTTCGTTAAGGTATCTTGTTACGTTACTTCAATGTGACATTTTAATTCTGCCACCAGCGTTAACGATCTCTAAATTATGCACTTAACGAGGCTGTTAATTAGATTGATCGTTTGTACGTTCATTTCCGCAGTTTACTTTAATGGATTAATTTTCAAAATCGCAGCGTCCGCGCGCGGCAAACTCACGCTCGTTGAAAATTCGCTCTTAAAAATAAATCGGGATCGCTTCGCGTGCGTGTCAAACTCGTTCTACTAAATTCACGTAAAAATGTGTTTCGAGTTACGTCTTTGAACACTACACCTGAGGTTTCGATTTATTCTCCAATCAAACGGATTAGTTCCTTCTTTTTTCTTTTTTTTTTTTTTTTTT